CCCACACCAAAAATAGTGCCGACAGTCCCGATGAGCTCATCTACCAAATTTTGGAGATGAAGACACTCCGTGTTGTGTCCATGGTAGCGATGTAAGCGCAATATTTGTTCGGATTGCGGAATGCCGGTGTGTCTTCCGTGGAAGACCTTGAAATAGTCCTTATTTTGGATGGCCTAGACTACCTCGACCTTTGACACGTTCAAGGGTGTTAACCCTTGCATTTCTTGATATACATGTGATCACTCATAATACTGAGTTGACTACTGGTTAGGATGATACACTGGCCCTTGCTGCTCTGATCACCCCCTCAACCACCTCGAGATATTGGATTATTAGTCTGCCAGACTCCTGAAACTCGATTAACCTTTTACCTTCTGTCATCTTCTCGACCCTTCCGTATCTGTAACTGGTAGACAAATGCTCTCAATTTGGTTTCCGAGGACTACATGAGGTCCTCTTTGGTAGCAGGTCATTTGCTAATTCCAAGACCTCCATGAAGGTCTTTGACTAGAGTAGGTTCAGGTCATACCTAAATCCCTTGTTGTGGATCCCTTGCTTTAGGATGGTCATGGCAATGAGGGGCTCCAGGTTCTTTAACCTCCAACATTTCCTTTTTGAAATGGTTGATGTAAGCCCTTAGGCTTTCATTCTCCCCCTGTCTGATCTGAAGTAGGGCCTCTGTATCCTTCATGGATTTTTGCACATTAGCAAAGTGTACTAAGAAGAGCATGTGGAATTCAAAGACGAAAAGGATGATACCATCTGTGGGGTTGTTAACTATTGGAGTGTGTCTTCTTTCAATGTGGTCGGGAATAGCCAGAACTTTATGACCATCATCGATCTGTAGGACTCTGACTGTTGACACAAAAGAAGCTATGTGATCGGTCGAGTCACTCTTCCCTCTATAAGGATCAAAGTGAGGAATCCTAGGCTTCGGAGGGGGTATGGCTTCCAGGATTCTTCTTGAGAAGGCGCTACCCATAGCTTGCTGAGCAAACATTCTCACGCGGTCTGCCCAATGTTGGATTGTCGGCATCGATGCGACACTGTCTTCTGGTTGGTAATCCTCGAGCCGTTCGAATAGACCAACCAAAACATTGATATTTATAAATTTACCACCATGTTATTTTTTGAACTATCGAACCAATGTATCTACGCATGCCAACTATTGAGAATTTGATAAAAATGAAAAACAAGGGTTGGGGTTTTACCATGAATTTTTATATTTTAGTGAAAATTTGAAAATTGGATTAAAGCGTGTGGTTGATTTGTAAATAGCAAGATAAATCTCCCAAGTTAATGTTATTATTTATATTAATTAAATTATTTTTAACAGCATGCAAAATAAATTATAAATATTTTAGATTCATCAAAACTGATTCCCAGCTCCTCAAATCCTCATATTCTTTCATGCAAGTATTTCCCTCATGCCTACTCCATACACTGACTTCTTCTTAGATCACGTTGATCATATAATTTGCTCAATAATCAATATTCGAGAGAAAGAATCCAAATCTCTGTCACCGCCATCACCATGATGATCATCATCTTTATCATCAAAATGTTTTGTTAAATAACATGTTGCTTTCCTACCAGTGATCCCTTATTCTTCAATCATGTTCTTATATTTGCTTTTTGAGTTCTTTTGAGCAAAAGAAGGAAAAAAAAAAAGGAATGAAGAGGAAAGGTAAGAGAGGTTAAAGAGTAGCTTTGTGGTTGTAATTTGATCTAAAAAGGATTTGTTTTACTTTAACAAAAGTTGAAAGCATCACCTTCCAACTTCTTTCCATGTTTTATTTTCCAATTATTTCATTCATGCAATGAGGCATCAATAAGCGGAAAGTGTTTTTCTTTTTTAAATAGAGGCACAAGTGATGTGATGCTTCAAGCTTTGATGAACCTACAACTAACAATGTTAGCTTTTGAGATGCTTGCAAGTTGGCTAAAAGAGGATGGATGAGGATTCAATCAAATTTTGAGCTACATGTAAAGGTGGGTCTTGCATTTCATTATATATATATATCAGAGCAAGTATTTAGCTATGCTTTTATAAAATTTAAAAATGTTATTTAAAATATTGTTTTTATTCACATGATAAAAATATGCTAAGCTACAGTTGAGAACACTGGATATAGCAAGGGTTGTGAGTTCAGCTCGAAGATTGTTAATCGCTCGAAAATCGAGTCGCATTTTGGACCAAATTTTTTCGAGCAGATTTCGAATCATACATGGATGAGCTTGTCATATTTTATTTATAAAAAAATGATATATAATGCTAAGTAAAATTAAATATAACAAGTCACAGGTAAATTTTGAGCATATTTAAGAGCTAGAAGGAGTCCAAATAACTCAATTTGAGTGGTTAGTTTCAATTTTGAGTTTGATCGAACCAATTCTAAGCTAATACATGTCTGCATAACTCAATTTGAGCCAGCTCGTTTTGATTTCGATCAAGATCGAGCTCAAATCAATTTTGAGATGGCTCAACTCCAAATCAAATATAATAAGCTATGAGCCAATTTCGAGTTGCACTAAATCTATTAGAGCCAATTTCAAGCCGTCTCCAGCTTGGCTCGAAATCGGATCAATAATAAACCTAGATATAGCCCCAAAAATAAAAGAATAAAGCACGCAAACTCTAAAGTATTTACATGAAAAATCTCTTATAGATAATGTTAATGATGAGAGTGCTTACAAAACACATACATCTCTTAAAGATTAAGCTACGAAGTATGAGATCAGGAATGCAAGTAAATCGATCCGACTCTAACTCGGCTCGTTTATTAGTTCGTAAATAAATCTTATTGAGCTATACGTGAGCTCATTCTTGTATATCATAAAAGCTTGAACTTGAACTTAACTAGACTCGGCTTGAGAGCTCATCGAGTCAACTCAGTTATATCAATTAATCGTAATTTTCATATAAGAATTAAAATCTTTATTATTTCATAAAATATTAGTATATTTTTATCAAAATCAAGCTTTTGAGTGTAGTGTCAGCCAGGCATAACTCCACAAGCCGAGTTTGAGCTCAAGTTATGAGCACGAGTCAAGCTTGAGCCAATCATACATCTCAAGAGCCGACCTCAAGCCAATCATACATTTCACGAGTAGAGCTCTATGCAAGTTATTATAGAAAGTTAAAATCATACATCTGCCGTTAGATGTAGCTTTGTTATATAGAAAATTGAGGCAATTGCTCACCATCCCTAAAGAACTTCGAAGCAAAGTGGAATCATTATAAAAATGCTCGTTTGAAAGCACTTTTCTAACAAATGATTTTCAAAAACAACTTTACAAGAAAAAAAAAAAAGAAAACGAAGCAGCGTTATGAAATACATATTCCATGAAGATTTAAGCCATAGTGAAAGAGAATTTTGCTATCTTCATCACCTTTATGCAAGTTAAAATGTGTAAATAGATAAATTTGATACAAAAAACTTATCAACATCATTCTTATCAAGACGAATAACTTTAATTCTCATTCCATAAATTTTATTCCCACCAACTTGAAAGGATATCAAATTAAAAAAGGAAATCATGGGGTGAGGTAGATTGAAGGGTTCACCCCAGAGAACAACAAATACTCATTTGAAATTGATGCGTGCTAGAAGATTCACAGTCATAGAGTAATCGATTGTCGTCTTAGCAATGCACGAGAGTTCAACACACACTCAGATGAAAGAAACAACTAGCAGAGACGCCAGAAGTTTTTATGTGGAAAACCCATAAAGGGAAAAAATCATGAGGTCTGACTCAATTGTAAAGACCCACTATAAGTTAATGATTATAAAGACCACTTTTCTCGCGAGCGAGAAATGATTACAAAATCTTCCTAATTATAACGTCGATATGTGGAGAAACTTATCACATGAAATGGGCGGTGATCAATGGTGATCGGCGACGATCGGCAAGTGGTGGTTGTTGGTGGTTGGAGTGATGCAGGACTTTAGCTCTTTCTCAAAGCTTCAAGCTTTTTCTTGGGCCTCAAGCTCTCTTTCACCCCTCATGAGAGGGGTGAAGCTCTATTTATAGAGTTCCAAGTGTAATCAATGTAGGAATGTGAACTACTTTGATCAGACGGTTCGAAGATGATCCTTTGATCATACGACATTTGATGTACATTTGAGTATCCTAACGATGCTGAAATTCAGTGATCTTGAGTTTGTTGGATTATCTTGTCGAGACACTCGATTCGACGATCACTTCGCCTTCCAAATATACTTAGAAAGTTTTCAAAGGTGACTTAATGACTTGATCTGAGCTTGATTTGTCTTTGATTATATCAATTTTGATATCTTTGGGTTCGTCTCATCGAGTCAATCAATTTGACTGCAAGTTTGCTGAAATCAGAGCTCTGAATGACTCTTAATAAAGTATGAATTTTTTTTGCTAAAAAAAATGCATTGAGATATCTGTGTCATGCCTCAAGATTCGTGTTGGATATTTAAATTTGTTGATGGCCTGTCAATAATAATGGAGTTAAATCAGAACTTAATGAGAAAATTGAATTTTTCATAAGCATTAAACCCCAAATCTCTCCAAGAAAGAAACCACTTAACTCATGGGCTAGTAATATAGAGAGGGTTCATCAACCAAGAACACCAAATACTCATTCGTAATAT